AATTATGTGTTCTGTTCATGCAACAAAAGGAGTCACAAAGCCATAGGGAAATGTAGTGTGAGTGTGATCAGTGTTAATAAATAGTGGCATGTTGAATATATAAGTTGAGACTCCAAAGCCAACGACTTGAAAGCATTTGAGGAAAGTCTAACTCTGCAGGAGCTTTACTACAAGGAGGCAAGGAACTCCTCAATACAGAACCTATGTCAGGGTATTTGGGATGGTTTCAGAAGTTGTTGTTTTTTAAATAGAACAAAAATCTGGTACTGCTGTGTGACTTAAGGGAAATTTTACAGAGGGAATGTGAGTTACTTGTTAAAGTACTTCATGACCTGACTATATGTGTTAATCTTTTAATACTGTCATTAGCAAATATAATCAAGGTGTCACAGGAGAACCTCAGAAAGTAATCCTCCTAAAGTGGAGAAAAATTTCTCCAACAAAACGCCTAAAAGACATGGACAGATTTTTCCCTACCTATTACTTCTATAAACCTAGAAGTTCCTGGGAGCTTGGTATCTGCTCAGTATAGTATCTATGATTAAATTGTGCCCCCAAGTTGGAATCATTGACTCAACAATCACATATCAATGCCCCATCATTAAATGTTGAGGGATTGCAAAAAAAAAAAAAACACACAAAAAATGTGATCTGAAAATACTTGACTTCCAAGTAAGAACACTGGCAGATGTGTGAAACCACCAAGGGAAAAAAGACCTTAGGGTAGCAGCCTCTTGTGTAGGATTCCCAGCCTCTGTCATTTCCCAGGAAGATAGCATTGCACTTGATAATGAGTTCCCAGAGAGGTTCTTATCATCCTTTAAAAGATCTCTCTCCCAATTTTCTTCAGTTTCTAAGACAGTATAAAGAGTATTAATAGTTCTGGTGGCCCAGAATTACAACAGGTTCACGATTCCCACTGATCCATCTGTTTTGTTTGTTTGGGTGTTATAGGTGCTTACAAGTGGGCAGGGTAGTGGGTGAGGCCAAAGATACATGATCTCTTGAGAAACTGGAAGAACAGGAAGTTGCCATCACTGTTGGCACCAATGAGTTCATAGCTTGCTAGATACAAAGCATCAATAAGGACATGTTCCAAAGAGCCTTTGCCTTTTCTGGTTTAAAAAAAAAAAAGCTCAATAAAATACTTGTAAAGAAAAGGAAATAAGCTTAGAGGAAACTACTCTAGTTCCCAGACTTTATTTGGCAGAGCAAAAGTTCAGTGCAGCCCAGGAACCTTTTCCACACCCCCACATGCCTATTTTTTAAGGCTTCTTTTTTTTTTTAAGCTTCTGTATTAACACAGGATTCAGTTAGTGTTACCAAAATTTCCCAGACTTCTCTCGTCTCTAACCAAAGAACAAGATCAAATTTGCTATCTTAATCATGTGTATTAATTTAGAAAGCAATGGGGTTTTTGTGATGGTTTCATATATGTATATACCATACTTAGATCATATTAATCCATTCTGCTACTCTTTTTACTCCTTCACCCATCCCCTTTCATATCACCAATAATCCCTCTGATTTTTATGTCCCTTTTCTCCCTCTGAATTCTACCCATGAGAGAAAAACATGCATTATTGGTCTTTCTGAAGCTAGCTTACTTCACTTAATAAACAAAACAACTCAATTCCATCTATTTTTCTCCAATGACATAATTTATTTTCTATTTTTCTCCAAATGACATAATTTATTTTCTTTACGGCCGAACAAAACTCCATTTTGTGTATAGGTGAGACATTTTCATTAGCCTAGGCTGATCCCATAACTGTTTGTTGTTGCAAACAGTGCTATATAGTAAACACAAGTAAGTAGGTATCTCTTTGTGTGCTGACTTACATTCCTTTCAGTATATACCTAGGAATGGCAGAATAGGATCAGATATTCAAATGATAGTTTGAATATTTTGAGGAATCTCCATACTGATTTCCATAGTGACTGAACTAATTTACATTCACACTAATAGTATATGGAGGTTCGTTTTACCCCTGCCCCTCAGCAGCCTCATTGGGATTTATTGTTTATTGTCAAACAAGACTATTGGCAGCCACTTTTATATGGAGTGGAGAGTGAACAGAAGAGAGGGCAAGAGGACAGATGACTGGCCCTGTGTCTCAGCAGGAGATGATGGCTCAGACCATGGTGCAAGCAGAAGGGACTGAGCCATTTCTAGACTTCTCTGGAGTGAATCCAACATAATTTGCTGATGGTGAATGTAGGGGAATGATGGTGAATGAAGGAGAGGGAAAAGCCAAGGGATCAAGGATGGTTTCTAGTTTCTAACTTGGGCAGCTGGCATGAGGTCTGATATCTGAGCACTAATAAGATTAGTCAGTGCCTTTTCCAAATGGCTGATACAGTCTTAAATATCATCCCTGAGAAGCATCAGCAGCCTAGGGAACAGGCCTGGGCTAAGACCCTTTCAGTTTGTCTTTAAAACTTCTTAACATCCGGATGCCAGTGGCTCATACCTATAATCCTAATTACTCAGAAGGCTGAGCTCTGAGAATCACAGTTCAAAACCAGCCCAAGCAAGGAAGTCCATGAGACTCTTATCTCCAATCAACTTCCCCAAGCTGCAAGTAGAGCTGTAGAGTGGAGCTTAAGTGGTAGAGTGCTAGCCTTGAACACAGATGCTTAGGGACATTACCTGGCCAGGAGTTCAAGCCCCAGGAATGTATACACACACACACACACACACACGCACACGCACACGCACACACACAGAATCTTCCCGACAGCCTGGTGATCCTATCTCACTCATGGCTACCCATCACATCACTTGTCACTTAGGATTTGGTTCATTCAATTACTTTCCAAGTAATTGCTAGGATAAACCAATATTATTTCACTCATTCACTCACTGAAGAAATCATTTATCATACCAATCAGGAGCAAGACCTCTTGTTTAAATCCACACTCCCACCCCCCCACCTCCACCACTGACTAGTTGTAATGCCTTAGACAGATTTCTTAGCCTTTTGCGACTCCATTTCCTTACCTGTGCAATAAAGGACATAGTAGCTTGTACTTCAGAAAGCTATCACAGTCTAAACTGGATGAAATGCATTCCATGTGTTAAAAACTAAGCCCAGAGCTGGGCACCAGTGGCTCAAGCCTATAATCCTAACTACTCAGGAGGAATACAGTTCAAAGCTAGCCAAGTCAGGAAAGTCCATGAGACTCTTACCTCCAATCACAGAAAAAGCCAGTAGTGATACTGTGGCTTACGTGGTTGAGCAGTAGCCTTGAGCAAAAGGAGCTCAGGGACAGAGCCCAGGCCCAGAGTTCAAGCTGGTGCTTGAACTAGCAAAAAACCTGAACTTGGCATACAGGACCCAGCCATGTTAGTCATGGCCACTGCTCTTTGTGATACAGGTGTTACTGAGAGCTTCCCAGTCTCAGTACTGCTCCAGGCCAGAGGCTGCTTTGAATAATAGAAAGCATGGTGAGAGTCAGATTTGACATCCAGTCTCTGCTCTTCTACCTAAGCTCTTGGAGTCTGAGAGTTCTCTACGGTATCATAGGAGCAACAATACCAACAGTGAAAGGTTTTCATGAGGGGAAATCAGAAATTTCTAAACAGTGGTTTGTAGATGGTGAGGTTCTTTCCTGACCCAGGAGGAGTTTTCTTTAAATAGTGTCTCTGTGCCCTCTGTCACTGAAAAGATCCCGGTAAGAGGAAGACAACTTCAACCCCTCTTATGGCATATAGTTTAAAAACCTCTTATCAGGTTATGTTTCTCAGAAATTACACTTTTACAGCCCAGTATGGAACTGTATAAAAGCCAGGAACAAGAGTGTGGACATCTTAGACAACAGAGAAAATGCTCCACAAGGATTTCACTTGGCACCCACACCATTGGCGTGTCTCACCCACCATTTGCTCTTTCCCATGAGCTGTACACTTCCTCTTCCTACCCCTACAGTCACCTTCAGCAACCAGAGTGAGAAAACACAGGCACCAGCCACAGCAAACACTCTAGTTTGTCCTGGAAAGCATAGATTCCCTGGACTTTTATTTGCAAACCGACTGCATGGTTTCCTTTGGCACAGCCATGAGCATGGCAGGCACAACTTGGTCTGAGCGTCTCTGCTTCTCTCCCACGTCCTTGCAGTGGCCTCTGGCTGCTGCTTCTCTACACTTCCTGGCTTATGAGAACCTTTCGCATCTTTGCCTACATTTGCTGTGTGTCCCCTCAGGAGCAATGCATTTTAAGATTCTTTGTGGACATGGAGGGAAAAAGTTGTTATTGTTACAGAAAAGGAAGATCTTCGCAAGCAAATAAAGATTCCTGCAGGAAAGTCCTTTCCCTCAGTCCATGTAATGTAACTCATCTTATCTGTGGCTCACCCTGGATGGATAATATTGTACAGACTTTCCATCCTATGACTTTAGGAGGATTGTTAGGACAATAGAGTAGCATGTAGGTAAATAAGAGGGCCAGTACCACTGAGCTCTGATGGCTAATTACACCTGTAATCCTAGTTACACAGGAGGCTGAGATTTGAGGATTATGGTTCAAAGCCAGTCCAGGCAGGAATGTCTGTGAAAGTCTTATCTCCAATTTAGTGGGGGGTGGGGAAGCTGGAAAGTGGAGTGAGGGCTTGTGTGATAGAGCACCAGCTTTGAGCAGAAACGCTCAGGGATAGCATCCAGGCCCTGAGTCGAAGCCCTAATACAGGGAAAGAAAGAAAGGAAGAAAGACAAGACAGACAGACAGACAGAAAGAAAGAAAGAGAGAGAGAGAGAAAGAAAGAGAGAGAGAGAAGGGGGAGGGAGGAAGAGAGGGAGGGAAGGAAGGAAGGAAGGAAGAGAAAGAGGAAAAGGAAAGAAAGAAAGAAAGAAAGAAAGAAAGGAAGAAAGAAAGAAAGAGGAGGGAAGGAACGAAGGAAGGAAGGAAGGAAGGAAAAAAGAGACCAGTACATATAACTATCAGCAGCCACAGAAAAAAATAATTATCTAATATGACTAACAGGGTTTTGTTGGTTTTCAGGGAACAGATCCGTCAAGGCCTTGAAGAACTCCAGAAAGTTCTGCCAGGAGGAGACACATACATGCATGAAGGATTTGAAAGGGTAATTTCAAGACAGTTTTCAACTCCAAGTATAAAGTGTGATATGGAATGTCCACATAGGGGTAACTGCACATGCATTAAGGGGGCTGAACATACCCAGTGACCAGAGAGTACAATTACACTCCCCACCATGAGCTTAGACAGTGACAACTACATCCAAAAGCACTGAGGAAATGGATTTCCTCCTTCCATCACTGATACCAATGGAGTTTTTGTGACCTGATGACTCACACATCATGGTGCACACAAGTCTCCTCAATTCCCAGCATGATCTTTGTGATGGCAGCTGCAGTAGTCAAGACAGAATTTCAGTGAGTTCAACTAGACATTGAACATGTTCATGGCTATATGACTGAAGTATGAGTGTAATCGTATGTGAAGGCCATCCATTGATATTTGAGTGAATCCTCGGTGGATCACATAAAGATGGAGACTGAGCCTGGCAACCTATGAACATCAGAACCCAATGTCCAATGTGCTATTTGCAGTGATAAACAGTAGTTCTATGTCTAATAATTTGTTTGTGTGTTTTTCAGGCCAGTGAGCAGATTTATTATGAAAATAGCCAAGGTAAGCCTGCTGTATAAAGCACCATTTTGAGATATTTAACATTTTTCTGTTTGCTTCTGAGAAAGCAGAGCCCTACTTTTCAGAATGCACATATGATATTGTCTGTAAATCTTTGGTACACATAGCCCAAGAATGCATAGAAAGATGGCAAATAGCAGGTCGAAATCCAAAAGTTATGTAAAAGTAATTAAGAACCAATTGTGACTCCAGCCTGCAATTCCCATGAATAATTTTACATTTTGAATTCATTAAACTAGAAAATACTTGGATAAGTAATGTAAAGTCTTGAATTTTTGCTTCAAATCTCATTATCTTGACCTTCTCTGAGATCCAAACCTCTTTATTATATCCTGTGTTAGCCTGAAGTTAATGAATGATCAACTAATGGTGGAACGAATAAATTATAAAGAGAAAATTTATTATTTTAAAACCCAGGAAGTATTATACCCTATGAGAATTCACATGTACAAGGTTATTCATTGAGGTATTCATTAAAATGGGAGAGATGTCCGAACAAGTATGACTGGGTATAATATTAAGATCTAGATACCACGCCAGATGAAGTAGCTCAAGCCTGTAATCCTACTTACTTGGGAGGCAGTGATTAGAGGATCAAAGTTCAAGACTAGTCTAAGTATAAAAGTTCATGAGACCTGATCTCAACTAATGGTTGAGCAAGGTGGTATAACCTGTCATCCTAGCTATAAGCAAAGCACAATGGCACAATGGTCCAAACTATAAGGAAGCAAAATTTGGAGGATCACATCCCAGGCCAGCTTAGGCATAAAATCCTACCCTACCTTTAAAGTAACTAAAGAAAAAGGAGATGGAGTTGTGGCTCCAATGGTACTGCACCTGTCTTGCAAGCCCAAGACTGTGAGTTGGATTCCAGTACTGGAAACAAAAAGAGAAGAGTCAAGGTTGGTTTAAATTTTGCTTTGTTTAAGTGCAAGACATACTTAGCAAAAGGCCTAGAAATAACAATAATAATTATTGTTATTATTTTAGCTATTATTACTATAGTGTCTTTCATGGAAACCTTTCAGGCAAATCTCTTAAAAGAGGTTCACTAGGCTGAGCATGTGAGCATGGGGGCTCAAATCTATACTTCTAGCTATTAGGGAGGCAGAAATTAGAAGAATTGAGGTTCAAGGCCAGCCCCCACAAAAAATTATTGAGACTTCCATCTCTATCAATAAGCCAGGTGTACTGGTACAAACCTGAGATCCCAGCTACCCAGGAGACTGTACATTAGAAGGATCATGGTGTAAGGTGGGCCTGAGTAGGTATTTGCTTCCTCAGAAGCATCTACTTGCTGTTTGTTTTAAACCACAATAAATAGAATAGTCCTGGTATCACTATCAAAGCTTGCTAATAAATCAGCTATGAGCATTGGTGCTAGAAGTCTAAATATCACTGAGAGAATGCTAGTAGATTTTGCCAACTGCTACACTACTTCCAATCAGCTTGTAAATCTTGGTAACTACTACCTTCTGTCAAACTGTCAGGAGGTGTTACATGTGCTCAACTACAATATGAGAGAAGGGCCACTAAAGCTCAAGCGGCTTAGTTTACTCTCAATGGATAGCCATTAAGAGAACTGCTACTAGAAGAGGATCACCAAGTATGGCCATTTGTTGAGAAGAGGCTGAGAAATGCAGAAGCAAAACCAATTCCCCCTGAATGTCTCTAAGAAATATTCTTCATGCTGGAGTTGATCCAGACCCCAAAGGAAAAAAAAATGGATATTTTCACACTATTGACTTCAGGAGGTTGAGCTTCAAAGAGATAAAACCCCAGGGCTGAGACCTTTTCCTGGAAGGAACAGTGTAACTGAATGTTTCTTTGTTGCTTCGGGCAGGGTACAGGACAGCCAGTGTCATCATTGCTTTAACTGATGGTGAACTCCATGAAGATCTCTTTTTCTACTCAGAGAGGGAGGTAAGTAGGGGTCTAGCTTGTATCTAAACAATCTCTGGGGTGGTTCCATGGTAAAACATATTCTTAGCCTGTGTGGGGGCCTGGGTTTGATCCTCAGAACTTCTTCCTCCCCACCTACACAAAAGCAAAAGCATGGAAACAGGACTTCTCCCTGAACTGGGTCACTCTCTTCTGCACTCAGGCAAAATGATAAGTATTTTCTGTAAAAAAACAAAACAAAACCCTGAGTGAAACAGTGTTTCATATATAAAAGTAATCATAACTCTTTTTTATTTTGTCATTCATAGGGCTTGAACTCTGGGCCTGGGTACTGTCCCTGAGCTCTTCAGAGCAAGGCTAGCACTCTACCACTTGAGCCATTGTGCCACTTCTGACTTTCTGGTGGTTTATTAGAGATAAGAGTCTCACAGACTTTCCTGCCCTGGCTGGCCTTGGACCATGATCCTCAGATCTTAGCCTCCTGAGTAGCTAGGATTACAGGCATGAGCCACTGGCGCCCAGCTCATAACTCATTTTGAGCATGAATTTTTGTGTTTTATACATGGTTGATATTTTTCATCAACCATGAATTTTTTTACATATCATTCTATGCTGTGAGCAATAAAAATGCCAACTACACCTTTATTAAAGGCATTGTATTAGCAGTTTTCAAATGCCATATGCCATACTGGTACCATTTTTCTTCCATTTTCCCCCATATTTTCTTTTCTACTAAAGCAAGAGAAGGAGGAAGAATCACTTAAAACATTTAAGTCAGTCTTCCCAGAATGTACTAACCATTGATGAGATTCTTCTCTAAGAAACAAAGTAGAGCACTATTTGCTAGCCGAGTTGATAGTAATCTTTCCTATATTTTTCTTTTTCTAATGCATGTATTATACTCTAATCAGATTAACCCCCTCTATTACTTTTCTCTCCTCCCTTCTCCATATTCAACAGCTTTCAGTGAGATTTTTTATGCCATCTTCATATTTCCATGCAATATATTTTCACCCTTCATCATTCCCTTCCCCTCTTCACCTCTCCCTTCCCCTCTCAAACAGTCCCAAAACTACAATCATAGTGACATATTTTTTTTCTCAAAACCAAGCAAACTAATTCTCTGAATGAAGCTTTGGGATCATCAAATGAGACTTAGAAAAGACATTTAGTCAAGAATGGTAAAGATATCTTTCTACTTAGAAAATCTTCCCACTGTAGGTTTGAGTTGAATTATATGTGCACTTAGCCTAAGGAAACAAATTATGGGGATGTTTTAAGCCTTATGATTGATACAGGCTCGTTTTGACCAAGCTAGAAACACAAGAAGGAAGCAGGCATTTAGAGATGGAGAGTCTAGATGCTAAGAGAAGTTAGTCAAAGCATTAGGTTTTCCTCAAGTTCATGACTAGTATTCAACCCTCTCTAGATGTATAAAGTATATGTTCATTCATTCATTCATTCAGAGTTTGCATATACTGGGTAGACACTAAAGACATAGGTGATTGAATATCTTAACCATGAAAAAACATCTGTCTTTCACTGATTTTAGCACAGAGGATTACTCAACAAGGGGAACATGGAAGTTAGCATGACAGACATCCCTGAGCATTTGGGAAATCATGCATTTCTGTATTCTAAAATTGAAACCCTGGGATGGGAACGCAAAATGGCTTATTTGGGCACTAAATAACAGCCAAGTCAAATGAAAAACCTAATAAGGAGAGAAATGGAAATAAAACAAATTATTTATGTCTGCGGCTTAAAATAGGGGTTAGCAGAAAGGAATGTTAGGTATGGCACATACAGACTTGAAAAATATATTTGGAATGCCAATGCCAATAAAGCAAGCTTTCTGGGAAAGAAAGATAAGTCTCAAATTATAAAGAAATGGCTCTTGTTAATTCTATAGAAACCCCAATCAGCAGAGAGGAGTCACAGAGCTCTTAGTGATAAGGTTGAGGCAACACTAAACGTAAAAGATTCTTTTCTCATGAAAGAAGTGGGGGATATTTCCAACACTGAGGAGGAAAAGGCATGTGTCTGTCCCTCTCAGAATTCAGTGTCAGACGTCAATGGGTTTGTGTCCTGAAGAGGAGAGGACAATAGCACAGTTCAAACCAACATGTATATATTAGCACTTACTGTATGCATAGTATCAGTTATTTATTGAGCACCTGCAGAACGTGCCAAGTTTGTCCAATTTTTGTTTTCTATTCTGAAACAGAAGAAGCTGGAAAACAGATACCACAGCCATTAATAAAACAAATATTAAAATCAAGCCCAGTCCCAGATGCTTTCAATGGTCTCTTATACAGAAGGTCATGGCTCACCTGTTCAAATATATCCTACAGGCTTTATTGCTAAAGGATGCTAGCATCCATGAACATCTGCAATGTTCTAGACTTTATGTGAGGAGCTCTGTGTATATTTTCTCATTTAATCCCCAGAACACTTTACAAAGTAAAATCAAGCATCCAATTCATGTACACCTGAGGGCCACATTTTTGTGTGATATCATGCTGTCATTACAAGCAACAAAAAGTATGCCAATAAAAAATACCTCAGAGCAATGGAAAAGGTAAATATTTCCCAGAATTGTTTATGTGATTTGTAGCCCAATGTTTCCCTTTCCTCCTCCTTTCAAAGTCAGTACTTTTCTCAATACTCTTCTCCAGGGGTCCTTTCAGCACTATCTGGACTACCTGCTCTCCTCTGCTCCACCTTGCATTGTGTTAGATTGCACTGTTCACTGGCATAGGAGCTCCTTGGGAACAGGGATTGTTTTCTCCAGTATGATATCTGGCACATAGTAGATGCTCTATAAATAACTGGCACTACTACTTGGTAAAGCCAACAGAAACACATTTGTCATGGCATCTCTTTCTAATATCCTTTGTTTTCTTGATCCAGGCTAACAGATCCCGAGATCTTGGTGCAATTGTTTACTGTGTTGGAGTGAAAGATTTCAATGAAACACAGGTATGATCGTGAATTTCTTTTGGCTTAAGAATATACTGAACGATGAATGGTAGAGAATATGTGCATCCAGCACAGGGAGCCTCCAAGTATAAACCTTAGGTATGTTATTTTTGCAGAAATACTCAGCAGGTGGGATTACTGGATGTGTAAGGGATACGAAGTCATTTGGGGAAGCACCTGGGGTCTTCAACACAGACTATCCAGGCAGTATGTTTCTTAGTTGACCTTCTTAGTGAACATTGACTTGCCAAAGTATCAAGACCAGATATGGGAGCTGGGCACTGGTGGCTCACACCTGTAATCCTAGCTATTAGGAGGCTGAGTTCTAAGGATCACAGTTTGAAGCCTGCTCCAGCAGGAAAGTCTGTAAAACCCTTTCTCCAATTAACTACAAGGAAAAAAAATTAAAGCCAGAAGTGGAGCTGTGGCTCAAAAGGTAGAACACTACTAGTCTTGACCATAAATGCTCAGTGACAGTGCCCAAGCCTTAAGTTCAAGCCCCAGGGCCAGCATATAACAAAACCAAAAAGTCCAGATATGAGTTAACTTGGAATAATTGTTTCTTAAAAGAAAATAATTTGGCAAGTATGATTTTCTTACTCAAATGACAAGCAATCCTTTTCACCTATTAAAAATGCAATGCATTTTCAATACAGAAATACGGAGTTAATTGGCCACATAAGCCAAAAAGTTACTTACAAGTACTTGTACTTATATGTACAAGTAAATTGTGAAAATCTATTAAACTAAACAATAGTTTCTCAGGGTAGTTCATAATTTCTTTTTGTTATAATAACACATGAAAACCCTTATGGCACATTGCTAAATGAACAAGATTACAAAGCACAGAAAATAGTATATGCCCACTTTTAAGTATGTATGTATGCGCTTGCATTGAAGAAGCGTGGAAGTCTGTATATATGAAATTATTAATAAATATAGACATAGAATGACTGGTATGGAAGAGGTATGAGTGACTTTTGTTTTGTTTTAACACATGGAATTTTCCTTGTTTCATAGTAAGGATATTTTACATTTGCATTCAGTAAAATGAGTAAACCGTGTGTGTGAAACCATAGCTACACACCAGCACAGGCTATGACTGGTGCAATCCCAGAACTACACAGAAATGTGCAGGGTGGAAAAGCTCACAGATCTGAATCTCTGCCCTCAATCCTCTGCTCTATAAAGCCAGAGCAGCCGAAGCAATCGCAAGCCCCCATTCTTTCCTCAGCAGTTCAGGTGAAAGGTTGGAGGCCTTGCCAACAACAAAGCCTGACTTTATTTTTAAAGTTGCTCTAAAGGAAGCCTGAGTCTGTTTGATTTGAATAAAGTTGCAATCAGGAATTTGGGTGAATGGGAGAAAACTGGGCCAATGGCCTACCCCCAAATCCATAAATATATCAACCTATCAATATATCATCCAACTGGGTGACCTAAAAGCTGGAGCCTCCCCTGGGGCCTGCTCCACAGAACCCTGGAAAGCTCTTGGTGATGAAGGTACTTTATTGAGGCCTATAAAACCAGGAAAGCATCATATCTCTCCTTTTTTAAAACTAAGTGAGGGTCGTACACAGTAGCATTCCTAAGCACTCCACACTGGACACATCCTTATCTCTGTGTGCATTTTGTGTCTGTCCTGTTCTCAGCTGGCCCGGATTGCGGACAGTAAGGATCATGTGTTTCCGGTGAATGACGGTTTCCAGGCTCTACAAGGCATCATCCACTCAGTGAGTAAATAGCTTCCTCTGGGGTCCTTTTCTGGCTCCAGCCTGCAACCAATCCCCTGTCCTTCTTTCTGAGGCTGCTCTTTTTCTGCTTGAGAGAGCGTACTTTCCTGTATCTTGTGTCTACCATGATCCACATTCCTCTTCAATCTTCAATTCCTGTTTCTTTTCTCCTTCTGAGGTGACTCGACCCAACAATGGAAAATTTAAAATTGAGAGGGGTCCTGCTCCGGCAGTGAGCCAGACCTGAGGCAGTCGTTCTCACGCACGATAAAATGTAGCTGATGGTTTGTATCTGACCCATTGCTACACTCCTTCTCTGCTTTTCTCAGCCATAACCAAACACAAGCCGCCATCAGAACATCAGCAGGCTGAACCTTAATCTCTTGCCATTGCAAGCACCTAAGACCAGGTTGTCTACTGAAATCAGCTGGAGAGATTTTTTTTTAATATTGATGATTAAGTCTCAGGTCTGAGGTGTAACCTAGGCTTTGGGAATTTTTGAGATTTCTCCAGGTTATAATGGTCAGCCAAGATTGACTACTGACACAGACCTCCAAAGAGGGTGGCTTCACTGTGCTTCAGGTGTTCTCAGTTGCCAGTTCTTCTTCACACATGCAGATGGGTTTCTGGAATCCTTTTCCTGGATGGTGAATAGAATATTGGATTTTGAGGTCTTTCTTCTGTACCCTTCAGTCAGAGGTCCGACCCTTGGTCCAACTGGGAAACTGAATGTTTCTGATCCTTAAAACCTCAGCTGGTAGGCCAGTGTGTATGCTACCCTTGTAATGCTATCAGAAAATACCACATCCTCTATCTTTAGGTGCTGTGACCAGGCAGGTATGCCACTGTGAGCAGCGAGAGCTCATAGGCTCCACACTTGATATCCAGGATTCAAGTCCAGAGTGAGATTTGATCATTGTCCTCTTTAAGTTTGATGTCTTAACCCAGGCATTGCTCACCAGAGCTTGGGAACTGCCAGCTTTCTCAGAAATCTAGGAAGCTTCCACATGGCTGTGCCTCCATGTAACATGAGACCCTTCAAGGAAAATAGTAGAGCAAGAAGGACAAAATCTGAGAGCTGATTGCCTAGAACTTAAATACCAACCCAAGCACTTATCACTACTAGATCCATAAATACTTACTCTTTTTCTAAGAGTTAAGGAATGAACTAATATGAAGATTACAAGGATTATTGGTTAAAATACCTAATTTCCACCGGGCACTGGTGGCTCACGCCTGTAATCCTAGCTACTCAGGAAACTGAGAATTATGGTTCAAAGCCAGCTGAGGCAGGAAAGGCCATGAAACTCTTTTTTTTTTTTTTTTGGTCGGTCGTGGGGCTTGAACTCTGGGCCTGGATGCTGTCCCTGCACTCTTCAGCTCAAGGCAAGCGCTCTACCACTTGAGCCATAGTGCCACTTCCAAGGCCATGAAACTCTTACCTCCAGTTAACCACTAGAAAACCAGAAGTGGTTCTGTGGCTCAAGTGGTAAAGTGCTAGCCTTGAGCTGAATTGCCCAGAGTTCAAGCCCCAGGACTGACAAAAAAAAAAAAACCAAAAAACAAAAAACTCTGATTTGCAGGCATGGGAATTACTTTCTTTTCTTCTTTCCACCTTCACCATATCAAAGACTTGAGTGTCAGTATCACCCATCCCTTATGTTTTTTGAAGGATATCTAAAGATCACCTGGGAATCATGTCTACAACACTGATTCGTAGGGCTCCTTTCCAAAAGATTCTTTGACAGAAATAGAAATAGGTGCAAGGAATCTGCATATTTTAAATGAGCATTTTAAAAAGATAAGTGCAGCCAGTATTGTTTTAAAAGATGGATAGATGTGATTACAAAGTTTTGAAATTATGAAAAATAATCCCATGTCGATTTGGTGATTCTTATCTTAAGTGTATACAAATGCTATCTGCCTTATTCAAGCTATATTTGTTGTCAAGGAACAAAAACCCATTCAGTCTACCTTCCAGAAAAAGGAAACTACTGAAAGGATAAAGAATGATCAGATCCAGTACAAGTCCACCGGTGAGGGGCCCTTACTCTGATTTCTGGAGTCACTGACACCTACCTAAGAATGTAAGAAACAAAACAACAATGCTGTGTAAAGAAACAATCCAACAATGTGAAGCATAACTAACAGCAGGACTTGAGGCTGATTCTGAATCCTGTGGGAGCTCAGAATTGGATCCTTCTGCATATGAGCCTTCATGAGAAGGGGAGGCAGACCTGGCTCAACGAAAATCCAAGGGAGGTGGTGGGTGATGTAGAGGAGGGATAGCATGACCTCAGCCTTCTTCCCATAGGCTGAGAAGCATTGTCAGGAGATGGGAGTCATGATGTCTGGCCATCTGGTGGGGCAGTTTCAGGAGTAATAGAAAATAAGTATGGACACTGGATTTGAACAAATTTGCAAAGAGCTTTAAAAGGTTTTAGCAGTGGGTGGTATCAATGAGACATTTGCTTTAATTTTATTTTTAATTAAGTATAAGTAAACATATTATGGGGTTTGGTTTGATATCTTAATACGGGTCAGAGTAGTGTAATTAGCACTTCCATCACAACCTGAGGCTTTGAACCTCTTCTAGTTCCTCATGAAAGAACTGAAACATTCGTTGACATGCATCAAGTAATATTTAAGAAGAGGATTATTGGCAGTGTCTGTATTATAAGGGGGAGATTGGAGACATCCAGGTGTTAGTTCAGTCAGAAGACTACAAGGCAAATCTAGACCTTCCTTCAGGTAGTTCGATTCTTCTACACAGGGACAAATCTTTCTATTTATTAAACATTTCTTCTGAGTCATGTGCTTAACATCCTTCAAGAGTTTGTTTCTACACAAATAATGAGAATCTTTTATCTATGTAAGGCAGTGTTGTCCCTGAATATTTTAGTCTGAGCAACTTACCCAAGTGCAACATGAGCCCGGATGTTTGTAAAACTTCCCTTACTTCCAAATGGAAATAATTCCAAGGATGTGTTAGAAGTTTTAACAGAGCAGCGTCCCGAAAAAGGAACAAATAAATTTGAGACTTCAGTCTCCAGACTTTTAGCTGAATGATAACATTCGTAGGAACTTTTATCTGGGAGTTATACTAGTGGTTTTGATCCTCCTAGGGCTCAAAACCCATGTTTATGGAAGTTGTTAATTAGTTTGCTTGGACAGAGAAACAGAACAAACCTAGCAGGGCTCATCTTTCTCAAATCAGACAGAAATAATTATGGCCTAAAAGCTGGCTAACTTATTTTTAAGAAGTAGGTTTATTTCCCCTTTTGGACACTGAAATGAAAGCCCTTATTTTCTTCTCATCTGAAACATCTATTCCGGCTTATTCCCATAGATGTTGTTTTGTGGCTGAATATTTTCTCACAATTAAATAGAACTGTGTTTAATTATGTAAAATGGGATTGCAGCACAGCTTCTAATAAACTCAAAATCGTTTCTGCTTATAGAAACTGTATTCCTAACCTCAGATGGTATAGGCGCTAATACTACTCATTCATCAAATACCCACTGGAAAACTTTTATGGTAGGTTCTGACTGTTCAATTACAAGTGAAACAGGAAGAAACCTTTTTTCAAAAGGGCTTATAATCTAGTGGGAGAGACATATAAGAAAGTAAATACATCCAGATAATTAAAATTATGCTAATTGATATGAAAGAAATATGTTCCTGAGATTAAGAGTAAATGGGGTTGCCAGAGACTCCAGACTTCTTCAAAGACATGATCTGATCTGCAGGGTGGAGAAATGACACCATCCATCAGAAGAGACTGGATAGCAAACTCTTGGCCAAGCACAGCCCTAAGATGATATGTAGGAGAATTAAAGCACATTGCTTAGTGAACAGTGACTAAATATGAGGTGAAGCAGCAGGCAGACTCAACGGTCATGGTATTTCCTACAGTAGAGCATGGTAGTCAACTGCAAAGTCTCATAGTAGAGCAATCATGCTGGCAAACAAGACTCAAAACTGTAGACACAGTGACACCTTACTCATATCTCCACTAGATAATGAATCAATAAGCTCTCAGAGTCATTAGCAAAATTTCTGTATCAGTGTGAAGTCACGATTTTGATCATCTTCTTCCACCAGCTTCTCTGCTAGCTCCCTCTCAACAGCTCTCTAAGAAATTTGTTGCCCCCCATTTTAGAGGTGAGAAAACTGAGATGAGAAGGTTGGATAAACAGCCAGATCTGCCACTCATAATGATTGAGTGAGGAATCTGAACTCAGGTCTTAGAAGAGTAAAAATAAAAGCCACCATTTAGTGCATTCTTATCATGTGCCAGCACTGTGCAAATCATTTTACATAATCATCTCATCAACTTTCACAAACACCATTTGATGTAGAGACTGCTACCCCTTCCATAAGGAGATTTTATACTGTTAGAGAAATTCGCCAACTGGTCCAAAAGCCACATGGAACAATGAGTGACCAAGTCTGTCAAATAAGGATTATCACAAACTCTACTGAATAATGTGAGGAGGCCAGGAAGCAGCTTCAAGACACTGAAGACCAAGACTGTAAAATGACACAATTCACACACTTGCAGCACATTTCTCCTGAGCCATTATTTCTGTTCAATGGATTAAAAAACCCCAGTGTAAGCAAATTTCCTATAGCACAAAGACTCCAAAGACTGCCAAGGGTTCATGCAGAAAGGACTATCTTTCCTTCCACACTTACATAGAGTGCAACCTCCGATAACCTTGACAGAGTTCTACTTGGTTTTGCAGACAATATCAATAAAATTTTAAAGAAAAATCTGGATGGTTGGAAGATGATGAGTCTTTCTGCCAGTGAAACTGTAAAGGAAGAAACTATTCCTTTGCCTTCTGTGATTGTGGCTTCCTTGGGGAATTTCCACTAACCACAGCTGGTGAACTTAAGACCAGCCCTCAAGTGAAAATATGAAGCAAAGGTCCAGCAAAGGCTTCTGGGTCTTTGCTTTTTCCTAAGAGCTGCAGGCAGTAAAACTGGAACACAC